CTTGCCAGGGAAGCGCTTATTCCACTGAGCCACCTCCCTGGCCCCCATGGCTTTACTTTTTATGCCTCATTTTTATATATCTCTGCTGGATGGTTAAGACCAAGATAAAGCAAGAGCTACATAACAAAAAAATTTAACTTTTGTATTTCACAAGGTCAGTCAAATCCCCTCAGGATAACTTTTCCTTTATTTTGAACTGTATTCTTACAACCTTTTCAGCAGCTCTCCACAGTGAGTCCAAAAACATGGTCTTCCCAAGTACTAAAGTTGAAGAACCTGTGGAGTTGTTCCCATATCTTAAGGCCATCAATGATAAAAGAGAATTTGATTGAGCTAGGTCTTGGTTTTGATTGGAGCTAGATGTGAACTCATTATATTGCCCAATCTCATGGGAATCCTCCTGCCCCATCTTCCCAATTGGTGGGATCATAGATGTGCACCACAGCAGCCGCCTCTTTTATATTTATCATGGTAAAAATGTTCTAGTTTGAACTGGTCAACTGATAACCATAATCTTCTCATCAAGACTTGGACCCTGTATACCTGATTGATTTGGTTTTGGTTTTTGAGATAGGATCTTGCTTTGTAGTTTAGGCTTGCTTTGAACTCACTATGAGCTCAGGGTAGCTTCAAACTAAATGATCATCTTAATTTTGAAAAAGTTAATCCCTTTCCCTTTGTATTTCTGTTTTTATCTGATTAAAAATAATTTGGCTAGAGCCAGGCATGGTGGCTCACTCTTGTAATCCTAGCAGTCAGGAGTCTGAGGCAGGAGGATTATTGCCAGTTCAAGACCATCCTGGGCTACAAAGTTAGCTCAAGGCCATCCTGAACTTCATAGCAAGACCCTGTCTCAAAAAGACTAAAAAAAAAAAACTTGGCTAATTTTCTTATTTTTTTCTGCCAATTTTCTTGTATACATATATTATTTGCATTGTTGGCATATTAGTCATGCTCTCATCTCTAGAACAAAATATCTGAAACTTGAAGCTTATAGGAGAGACTTATTTTGGCTCATGGGTTTGGAGGACTCAGCCCAAGGTTGGCTAGTTCCAAGGCAGAAACATCATGGTAGAGGCACCTAAAGGGGAGCATGTGCGGGTGGCAGAAAGAGAGAAGAAAGAGAAAACCCTGGGACAAGAACACCCACGTGACATCCCCAGCGATCCAACTGAGCAGACCCCATCCTAATAGCACATCCAGCTATGAACTTATCAGAGGATTAATACACTGATGAGTGAAGTGCCACAAGATTCGATCACCTTCCAAAAGCCCCACCTCTGGCCGTATGAGGCTTTTAGATCTAAGCCATTACAGTTGACTGTCTATATTTCAGAGTTGGATGCACTGGGTGATGAGCTTCTAGCTGATGAAGATAGTTCATATTTGGATGAAGCAGCATCTGCACCTGCAATACCAGAAGGTGTTCCCACGGACGCTAAAAACAAGGTGAACACCTTTTCTGTTTCTATTTCTATTTCTGTTCAACTTGGTGAAGATTTTATGCCCATCAGTCTGAGAACCTAAAAGGTAGTCTTATACTAGAACAGGATAGTCAAGGGCTGGCAAGATAGTTCAGCAGACTAAGCACCTGCTTTGGCAAGCACAAGGACCAGGGTTTGGTCCCTGCTCCTGCATGCCATGCTGGCCCCGCACCCAGGGGCACACTGAGCCGGAGACAGTCTGGGCATGGTGGTACATGCCTGTGATCCCAGCGCTGGGGAGGCTAAAAACAGGAGGCTCACTACAAGTCTGATCTGCCTAGTGAGACCCTATACCAAATACACAAATAAATAGGACAGGAAGTTCAGTCCAGGTCAATAGTTAGGAGCCTTTGGAAGCCCAGTTTTCTTATTTTGATGATGAAAAGGCTGCATAAAAAGAAATACTGAGGTTTAGGGATGTCTTTCTACAGTAACAATTTCTGTAATGTATATAATGACCTTGCTGTGAGCTGGCACTCTGAGTACCATTTACAGATTTTTACTGTACTGAGTACCATTTACAGCCCCTCCCACAGTTGTAAGACATTTCTTGGGAAAGCATGAGCAGCACATGCATGTGCTTTGCAACATGGCAGTATAAAAGAAAGTCCTGGGGCTGGAGAGATGGCTCAGTGGTCTAAAGCACCTACTTAGAACAAGCTTAGCAAAGCATCAGGGACTGCGGTTCGATCCCCCAGCACCACATG